AGGTGCTGGCCCTGCTCTCTGTTTGCCAGAGTGGTGTTTGCAGCAGGAGCTCCATGCCTGGCTCCTCTCAGGGATTCCTAGGAAGGCTTTTACCTGATGAGCCACTTAAAGACAACTGCCTGGCCTGGGAAAACAGCCCTGTGTCCTCACTGGCTGCTCCACAGTGGGTGGAAAAGATTTTTGAGGTTGATTCTCCTCCTGGAGGTTCAACAGAGAACCACAGAATAACAGAATGGTTTGGGTTGGAAGGGACCTTAAAGCTCATCTTGTTCCAGCCCTGCCATGGCCAGGGTGCCACTCCCGAGATCAGGCTGTTCAGGATTCTGTCCATCCTGGGCTTAAACACTTCAGGGATGTGGCATCCACACCCTCTGGCCATCCCCCAGGCCATGCCATCATCAGTGCTCCCAAAAACAAGACCCAGAGCGGAGCCATGCAGGGATTGCTGTGTCCTGCCAGTGTTATCTCCATGCACATCCTCTCCTGCAGCCCCCCAGCACCTTTTGGGCTTCCCAGCTCTAGCAGGGTCCCTGCTGTTAGTGCCAGGGTTTGTTTTATGGGCATCACCAGTGTGCCCAGCAGTCCCAAACCCACAGGAAGAGCCGTGGTCCCCCCACTCCCCCAGCACGGGAGCAAACAGAACTTTCTCACCAGTTTGGCTGGCAGTGCATGAAGTCAGCAGGCAGCATTGCCCGTGTTTTGTGCACAGGATATTCCCAGGGCTGGCTGTTTCTCCCTGGGAAGGTTTGCTCTGTGATTTGGAGCCATTGTAGTCTGGAGCAGTTTCCGAGGTACTTCCCCTCTGGGATCTCTGCTGCCTTTGGCCATGGCCCAACACTCGGAGTGTTGGAGGCCAGGGGTGGCAGGGCTGGGCTGGGAGCCCTGTCCCCAAACCACCCTGCCACCAACCCTGTGGGAGAGGAGCCCGGGGAAGGAGCAGAAATGCATCCCTGCATCTGTGGGAGGAGATTGCCCAGAGCAGCCCCTGGATCCCTGGAAGTGTCCAAGGCTGTTGGAATCTGAGGTATTGATGATTCTGAAATTGTAGAAAGTCTCTGTCTGTCAGCCCCCTGCCAAAGCAGAAGCCATAATTGGTCTGTGCTGGTTTCCAGGTTGTTTATTCTG